ATTACATTATTAATTCACAGGATGGCATATCTTATTAAGGCTTCTCTAAATACAACATTGCAAGTAAATTCCTTCATGACTATTAATAAGGCCATCCTTTATCAAGACCTTGATATTATACTTTTCATATACTCTTGACATAGCAACGTATAATTAAACATGAGAGAAGACTGGTCTAGAAAGGTATAGTTCAAAGTGTGAAAGCATTTGACCTTGAGACTTATTAATAGTTAAAGCAAATACTAGCCTTATTAGAAATTGTTTTCTTCTTAGTATAAACAGCAGTCCAGCATCTTCAGAATTTAAAAGAGGAAGTCTAGAAATGAACACACACTTTTTTTGATTGTTTCCTGTTGTGATTTCTGCATCTATCACTTGTGCTTGAAATTGCTGACATATTAGCCTTGTTCTATTACAGAGTCTGTTGACAGGATCCAGGTTTCTAAGTAATATAATAGATGCACCAATCTTAAGTATAAGTTCATGTGGAAAAAGACCTTGAGGTGTTAGAGAGTTTAGGTATTCAATAGAATATAAGTTTAAATTATCATCTAGCACCGAATCAAAACTATAATATATTTGCATGTCTCCAGGAAATTTGGATATAATTTGCTCATTGAGTTCATCGATATTATTATTTAATAGAGTTGGTATTGCTCTTACTGTTATAAAAGTAGTATCTTTGGCATTTTCAGAAAGATTATTATACACAGCATCTATCAAAAAGCTAGTAGTTCTTCATTGCTTCTTGGACGGATAACTATTTTATCAGGAAGATGAATTAAATCATTTTTGATAGTCGGTTCCATGCCATCACCTATTCTAAACAAGTACTCTGAAAAACGTTTTGCCTTATGAGTTGTAGTTTGAGATACCTGCATATTAGTAGTCAAACGAAAGATACGAATTTGACTCCATAAAGCAGATTTATTAAGTGCGGCATTGATGATTTAAGCCCTAGAGCCTTTACATACTACTAGTAGAACTTGCTGAAAATCTTCTCATTCAGGTACTATGCCTTGAACAAAATGCCAAACTCAAACTTCTGAACAAGAGCAACAAGAATGTAGAGAAGCTAATACCACTCGAAAACGCAGACAAAGATCAACAGAGACAAGTCAACAACATGTGCATCGACAACTGCAAGATTTTTCTACAAAACGGCAAAGACATTTTATTGAAACTAAAGAACAAAGAAGTCATAGAAACCAAAGTGATGCTACTTTTTATCATCAACATCACTCTAACAAACCTCAGCTTAAAAATTTTGCTCGCAATTTTGCTGAAATTGTAAATGCAAGTGATCACCCTATTCTACACTGCATCGACATTGACAGCTGCAACAATTGTATTCATTGTAACACTCTCAATTCCCAATGGAGAGTCCTGGAATGTGTTGCTCTAATGGAAAGGTATTGTTAGCAGAATCGAATATGTCTTTGCTTCTAAATAATCTTTTATTAAGTTAAGATAAATTTTCTAATGATTTTTGCTACAAGATTCAGCTTTATAATTCTGCTTTTACTTTCGCCTCTATCAGTATAACTATCGACCCTAAGCTTGCTAATGCTAGAAACAGTGTCTATATGTTTCGCACTCAAGGGTCATTTTACTATCGAATTGGTTTGTTATTGCCAAACCTCGGTAAAAATCCTCGCTTTTTGCAGATATATATTTGGAATACCAGCATGAATTGTTTTATTGAACCAATACTATTCCTAATTCTGAACTCAATATTGATACTATTCAATCTTTAAAAAACCTGTTTAATGAAATAAATCCATATGTCAGCAATTTTCGTCACATTTCAAATTTATCTACTAAAAACTTAAAAAATATTTCTATGCATATTCATGCTAATATTCCAGAGCTTGATCAAAGAACATTCAATGCCTCTACAGCTTCACAAGTAGCTACAATTTGGATCGATAATAATATACCATCTGATTAAATCCAAAATCGTGATATTATTTTGTACACTCATATAGATTAGCTTATTTACATTTCTGAACTTAATATCTGTTACTATCCTTTAGCTTATCCAATTCTGTTTTTTTATGGGGAACAAGGCTGGGCTCCCCATCAAATACTTTATAGAAACATTAATTTGACTTCTGTTATATTCAATATCGCTGAAAGTTTAAATCATGAGGTAATGGTGAATATGATAATATAGATTGCGATATTAACAGTGAACCTTCTGATGATGACTATGAGGATAATGAAGCTCAGCAGACTACAAATACTAGAACAAAGTGATGTAGGAAATTCATAAGTGCAATGGAGTTCTATACATATAAATTTCAAATTTGACCTTAGTCTACCGATTCACTTTTATTAGTGGGCTGCCTTTTTCAGCAATTCATAGTTGATATATATGTAAAATAGAATCGAATCACTTAAACTTTCATTGGCAAAGATTAGAAGTGAATTATATCAAGGACTTCAGGATGCTGTTTTACAAGGCGATATTGATTCAGAATATATTGGACATAGGGTAATTCTTCTAGCTACATTTATCAGAAGCTCTTGTGATATGATACAAAGATATCAAGATACAATGGCTATATTAAGTGTTGGAAGGCCTGATTTATTTGTTACTATAATGTGTAATCCAAATTGGCCAGAAATTCAATCTCTCTTGATACATAGTCAAAAAGCTCAGGATCTATCTGATATTGCAGGTTATTGTTTTTCACTAGTTTAATAGCATGTGTAATTTAATACTTTGCTGAAAATTTTTTTTACTTTAGAAAACTAAAAATATTAAGATATCTTTGCTTTCTATAGCTTGAATTTTCCGTGAAAAGTTTCAAGAATTAAAGAAAGATTTGTTTGATTATAGTGAGTTGTTGCTCACATACACGTAATTGAGTTTCAAAAGTGAGGGCTTCCACATGCCCACATTTTGATCATACTTTATCTTGAAGATAAACCATGAACCCCAATAACTATGATGCAATTGTCTGTGCTAAAATACCTAACCAATTAACTGATCCTAAAGCATATGCTTCTGTTACTACAAATATGATCAATGGCCCATGCAGAGAGCTTAATACTAACGCCTCTTGCATGACTGACAATAGTTCTAACCATAAGAGATGTTTCAAAGGATATTCTAAGCAGTTTCAAAATGAAACCCTTCAAGGAGAAAACTCTTATCTGGTATATTGTTATCATCAAGATTTTCAACAAGTTGAGATAAGAGTAGCTAACCAATTAGTCAAGTTAGATAATTGCTGGATTGTTCCATATAATAAGTTCCTTAGTGCTAAATACAATTGCTATATTAATGTAGAAATCTGTGCTAGCATTAAAGCAGTCAAATACCTATTTAAATATGTTTATAAGGGGTATAATAAAATAATAGTTGAAATTATCTGAACAGAATTCCAAGATTCGCGAACAATTTGTTACAATTGACAAAATTCGTAACTATAAAGAAGCTCACTGAGTTTTTTCTCCAGAAGCCATTTGAAGAATTTTGGGTTTCAAGATAAATGGAATAAGGTCTGCAGTTATGCGTTTATATTTGCACCTCCCAGATCGCCAAAGAGTTGTCTTCAATAAAAGTTGTAATTTGAATGATGTTCTTTTAGCCTCTTGAAATAAACATACGACTCTTACTAAATACTTTAAAATAAATGAGGAAGATTCAAATGCTAGGAATATACTATATGCAAATTTTCTACAATATTATATTTGGAGTAAAAAAAAACAAGAAATGGAAAAGGCGTAAACAGGGAGGAAATATTGGAAGAATCTACATAGTACATTCCAAAGAAGATAAATAGTACTTCTATTAATAGATAAAAATTTTTTTACTAAATAGAGCAAGACTTTTAGAACCCTATGCTAAATTTATGAGAAAAAATTTAGACGAATGATATTATCTTCGATTATTGTTGACTAAAGTAAAGGGTTCACGAAGTTTTGAAGAACTTAAAGTATTAAATAGCATTATATGTGCAACTTTTAAACAGAGTGCACTATTGAGAGGTTTTTTAGAGAATGATAGTGATCACTTGCAATATATGGCTGAAGCTAGAGACTTTCAGATACTTAGCCAACTTCGAGCTCTTTTGTCATATTATTAGTTTTTGGTGATATTGCTAATGTACACCAGTTGTGGGACAAAAACTATGATACAATGACTAAAAACTTTGCATATAGAGGAA